CTGATGAAGACAGTAAGACAGGAACAGATAAACACACGGCGAAATGGTTGAGGTAAGGGACTGGGGGTACGTATCGTGCAAAGGGCGAGTCAGGGGAGCCCACAGTGAATGAATGAACCCACCAGAAATATATGGAGGAACACAGGGGTCGCACATAACAGAACGTATGGAGACGTATGGTATGAAGGGAGGAAGAACACAACACACGACAGCGCATGGGGGAACAGGTGATGTCATGATTTTTCTCGCTTAAAGATTTGGAGTAAAAAAACACTACAAATTGCAATCGCCTTGTTTACTCGTACTTTTTAATTGCAAAATAGTTGGGCACGCTTAGTCATCTTAGTTACTTAGTTAAAACGACACATAAATGGCCTTGTGGACAGTCTCGAACAAAAAAAGCAGTTCAGTTATCCAAGCTATTAGGAAAATAAAGTTTGTCATACAAAACAAATTCTTTTGCGTATTGCGGCTATACTAGTCTTGGATGGTCAGAGTCCCGCAAACGCATGATCCGCTCCATTGAGACTCGAAGCCTCGAAATCATTTCCCCAAAATGCAGTTCGCAGAACTGTGATCTTCNAAACAAATTCTTCTTCTGAACGTGACTGCACAGTGCGGATAATTCGCCAAAAATATTCCAAAACAAAATGCTTTCTCAATAACAATCCAACAAAAGCTCCTTGAAAAAGCGTGAGAATACAGTTCGCACCAAAAGTTTTGACGCACTTGTGCGCGATTGGCTCCAATCTTTAATCCATATTCATGACAAATTGTAGTTTGAATTTCATTTCAACATTTCGCGGCCGTTTGAAGACGTACACCGAGTGCTGGAGTTTGTGATAATAATCTTCGTGACGAGAAACAGAAGAAACCGCAGATGTACTTTGTGAAACTTTATCAAATTTGAAGCAAAGGTAATCATGCAACAGTAACTCGTCTTGTGATTCTGCTTTGAATGTAGTCTCTAAGCACGAAGAAACGAGTTCAAAGTACCATTACAGCTTCCACGTGGCTTCGGTTGGTGTCGCGGCCTTGGGAGGACTTACGCTCAATGAGTTGCCTTTGCCCTGAAACGAAACCAAAAGAAAGCGAGAATTAAGTTTAAATGTGCATTCGTAGAAAAAACGTTTCGTATATTATTTTCTTTTCTTCCTTAAACGTGAACTCAAATTGTTTTCAAAACATCCACACTTTGGTTCAGGAGTCAATTTGACAGTTTCATACTTTGGACTTCGGACATATACATTTCAAGAACTGACAGAACAATGTTAGATGCTAAACAAGAGCTTTCAAATTAATTTTTTCTGCCAACTGTTATCGATCTACACTTCAAAGTTGTTTTCCTTTATCATGGAAGTTGACCGCAAATCAACCAAAATATTTATTCCCATTTCCCCTAATGCTAATGTTTGCTGCAAATCACACATTTTTTGCATTAATTTTCAAAGTCCCTGACCCTGTAGCTAAATTTCTGCTTTTTGTTTAATTTACAGACTGAAAGCGATCGAAGGAAAATACAAGAAAGGAATCGACACTCGATGGATGGATCATCAAGGATTGGAAGAACGTGCCAAAGATAAGCCGAGTGTATACAAGATTTTTTAAACCGATATCACAATTTTGGGTCATCCATATTCACTCTCAATTTTACAAGTAGGAACAGTTTACTCTTGTTGATATTGAGTTTTTTTTCTCGGAGGCTCTAGCACATATATTTATTTTCTACTGGTCGAGATAAGGGGGTGTTCTAAAAACTTTGCAAAATTTTAGAAAATTTGAGAATGTTGTGGTTTGACCCAAAAATTGCTGTTTTAAAGTGGCACTACAAACTGATCGAAATTTATTGACTAAATAGATCCTCGCAATGAAGGTATTGAGTTTTCCGTTTGTCTCGTCGGGCCAAAATTAATCAAATTAGCAGCATTTGTGGTTTGCAGACGTTCTATAGTGCTACTTTAAAGCTGCATTACTATATTTAAACTAGTTGTCGAAAACAGAACACCGGCTTTCATAATGTCAGTCTAGCCGAAAATTTACTCGATAAACTTCTCACGAAAATGTCTACCCTAATTGTTTTGGAAGAGGCCAAAACTGGTTCGGGGTTGGGTGATGCTACAAATTTATAGTTTTTCTTTCCAGTATTAATCTGGTTTGAGAAACGCAAATAGCAAATTTTCATTTGACTGAGTCTGGCAAAATTTACCAAGACATTTTTCTTCTCACGAAAATGTATACTCTAATTGTGCTGGAAGAGACCAAAATTGGGCTGGGGGTTGGGTGATGCTACATATTTTCGGTTTTTCTTTCAGGTAGCAGTCTGTTTGAAAAAATCAAAACAATGACATATGTCCAGGAAACCGTGTTCTGTTCTCTTGGTATTTTAAGCTTATAGTACTCAAAAGCAATGCCTGGTACGTTCAATCGTTTTCAAGTTTACACCTCAAATTCTCCGTGTAATATATCTGCATTTCGTTGTAAGCACAGTGTAAGAAGAAAATTGAATGGCTGGACTACACAAAACATCATTTTGCGAATTCAAGTTTTGGATTAATCTTAAACAAGAAGGTGGCACACTATAAACACAACAGGGCTCATCTTTCTTTCAACATCATCTGATCTGCAATCTTTTATTGTGATTGGTTTCACTCAACTTCACGCAAACGTTGACTCAATTTGATTTACATTTTCTGTGAGCTATATGTTTTGGACGATATATTTACAGCTTTCTCGACAATCGTGAATTAGTTTTCCAAAGTCATTATTGCACGATAAATGAAAATAAATCCCAGTTTATGGCGGTTTTTTTCAATGGTGGCAAACATGCAAGCTATTGCCAGTGATAATTTTGAAATGAAATTCAATGTTTTCGTTTTTGTAAATACTGATCAAGATATTTTCCGAACTTTTCGAAGAATTCTAAGAAATTTCAAGCAACAAAGTTGCTCGAGAAATACTAATTTGAGAAAGGAGTACCTCAAACCTATTTCTTCATAAATTTTAGTTTTAACAGCGCCTTCTGTTTAAGATATCTGAATTTTATTTTCAAATCATAAATTTTCACGGTTGTAGATATGCAAATTTTGAAACTTTTCGCTTTCGTATTTCAACGCGCTTTCGTATCCTTTTCACATGCTGTATAGAAGCGTTTATTCACTTAAAATTTATTTGTTTCATGAGAAAGTTGTTAAAGAGTTGTTTGATAGCTTGATAGTTCTTAAGAGTTTTTTCTTTCCAGTTTCCTGGAAGATTTAAAACGAATGTAGTAATTGACTACGAAGTATCCAAAAAATATGTTTCTTATACTTCGGATTTTTGAATTGTCGATTGGCAAACCTCAATTTTACAGAAGTTACTTGAGGTTTTTACTCATTTGGGTTCGGAGAAAAACCTTTGACGTCGAATTGAATTCGCCAAATCAAT